TAGGACTTCAACTGAATATTTACTAGCCAACTTATGTTGTCTCATCTCACAAATCATTATTCTGAAATGCCAAAGAACTTCAAAATGCAGAAAAATTGCCATTGCTTTTCCACTCTTTTTTCTTTTTTTTAAAGATTTATTTATTCACGCATACAGAACTGAGGTACAGGCCAGGGTCAGTGAGAGGATTCACCAGAGTCAGAGTCAGAGTGGGGAGCAGAACAGGCCGACTGACTTAGTAAACTGCTGAGGGGGAGTAGCGGGCAGGTCAGGAGAGGTCTGCAGCATCATGTGGGTCACCTCATGTGGGTCACCTCCGGAGCAGGTGGGGATCGAACTCATGTTGAGGTGATTTTACCTTCTTAGTGCTATGCTTTAAACCCCCTGCGCCACCAGGGAGGACCTGCTTTTCTACTCTTAATTATGGAAGTTATTTTTCATAAAAATATGCTTTTTACATAAATATATTGACTTTGACTTTATTTTTAAATGAGTAGCTAACTTATTAAATCTCAGTATTAATTTTTAATATGGTAATTATCAATAGAGATGGCCACATAAAGACAAGATGAACTCCTAGGATAAAAAAGTTTGATAATTGCTCATTTATAAATTCATGTTATAAACTTCGAGAAGAATTAAATTAGGTGTGTGCATTAAAAACCTGGATTCTGTACCTGGACGGCTGAAAAAGCCTTTAAAATTCTTGCTTTTACATTTTTTTAATGAAAACGAATTATCCAATGTATCTACACTTTGAACTAGCAACTCTACCTCTGAGAATTTGTTACAAGTGTGGGAAACACAACTTGTACAAAGTTACCAACTGAGGCATTATACATAATGGCAAATACCGGAAACAACCCAAGTTGAAGAGAGGGATGTTGGTTTGCAATTACTGTACTTCCACTTTATGGAATACTATGCTCCTGTCATAAAAGATAACGGGGTTCTATGTGCTGATATGGAAAGATATACTTGCAAGGTGCTAAATAATGAGTTTTAAAAAATAACTTGAGGGCCCTCCCTGGTGGCTCATTGGGTTGAAGTGCAGCAGTATGAAGCTATCCACAGCCACTACAGCAGGAATTCGATCCTTCCACACATCATGGCAGACCTCTCCTGACCCGCCTGCTGTTCCCCTCAGCAGTGTTTCTATCTGCCTGTTTTGCTTCCCACTCTGTCTTGGGTGAGTCCTCTCACCCCAGTTCTTGTATGTATAGATAAATCTTTTAAAAATTGCATATCCTTCCGGATTCTTGAACTATACATATAGCCTATTGGGAAAAAAATAATAAAATCAAGGAAACAAAATAATAAAAATAAGAGATTACATGGAATCATGTAAGTAGGATTATAATATACAACTTCAAGTCTAATTAAGCGGACCAGATTACTAAAGAAAATGTCCTGAACCTAACCCATACTTTTGACAAACATACATGCACATAATTTTAAGGTAAAATTATTTAAGGCAATAATCTTTTTCCATTCCCAACTTTTAGCTAATGCTTTTTAATAACTCCTGAGTACACTGACTCCAGAGTCTCAAGAGTAATAAATTCAGGTCAGTCGCTTTCACCAATCTCCAGGAGGAGCGTGGGCCTAACGCTGGAGGAAGATTAGGAAGCCCGAGCTCTGCAGACCTCGACTTGGCGAGGCGGGGAATTTGGCTCCCACAGCTGGGCTTGATCATCTCTGCCCCTTTTGAGTCTGTAGCTGTCTTGCCTGCCCTTCTGAGTGTGTGTTGGGGGTGGGTGGGTGGGGGGAGGAACCCCTCTGAGAGTTTATGGCCACAATAAGGGGGAGATGAGGAAGCCAGGGTTCAGAAGATGCCTGGGCTCGCCCCCTAGGAAGACATGAGGTCCCTGGCTGGCAGCAGACTCTGGACTCCTTATCTGCCGGCTTCCTGCCAAGACTGCCAGCTTCGAGGCCAGTGAAGTCCCACTGAAGACATCCCATGAGTCCTAGCTGGGGCCCCAGGAGCATGGCCCCTCCACTTCACCCCAACCCTCCTTGTTTCTAAGGAGTCGGGGGGGGGGGGGGTTTTGAGGGGGGGGGGAGAAGCAGTGAAAGACTCCTGCAGAAAAAAATATGCAAGTAAGTCTCCCTTTCCCAAATAAACTGGAGGACAACTGATTCCACCCTCTCTGTGTTTCCAAGGAAAAGACTAGGACTGTCAGCAATTTCATCAACACACTTCCAGTGAGGAATTAAAAACAGAACCTTTTGCTGGTTTCCTTTACCAACCAAGTCTCTTGGCCACCAGCAGGCAGTGACCTGAGAACACAAATGAACCTCTCTGGTCCAGTTCCCTTAGTTGTAAAACAAAGGCATTGGACTCCAACAATGCTAGAGTTCTGTTTCAACTTTTCATCCTCTGCAGTTCTGCAAAAATGCCTAAGCATGACTTTCTTCAGGCTTCAAATGCAAGCACACTGAATTACTGTGGCCGAGTTTGGAGAAGGTGCATTCCCAGATACATACAGTCTATTCACAGATCCCAAGATCCTGTGCGTGCTGGACATGGGCCAGGGTCTCCTCTGGGAGAGTGGGATGTGAACAGGTAAGGAAAGAGGGAGGAGGATAAGTTTTATAAGAAGAACCAATCCTGTGACTGATGCTTACTGGATACACGTGCACACAGACACGCAGCTTAGTCCTTCCTGCCCATTACCAGCCCAGGTAAAAGGAGTATTCCTATTACCTGAAGCAATCAGAACAGCTCTCAAAACTAAAGGTGGAAAAATAAAATTTGCCCCTTTGCCCTGCGACTCTGGGATAATCCCTGACAAGCTACAGAAGACAGGCCTCCCCAGAAGGGAAGGAAAACTGCACCCAAGTTCCTAGGGAGCTACGTCAAGACTAAGTCTGGGCTCACACCATTCCTGCACCCCAACTTATCAGTGAGTTTCTGGAACCCCTGAAATAACTCACCCCATTCCTACACATATGATGAGGACTGCCAAGACCCAGCTGTGAGACAGGCCAACAGAGGTTAAGAAACTTCTTCCTGCTGGGGAAAGATGGGCCAAGATTTGAACTGATCCATCTGGCTCAAAAGCTCAGAACTCTCCTGCCACCTTCCCCGGTCTCAGGCAGAGTGCTGCTTTATTTGAATTTAACAGGACAAGACAAGATAACCTGCCCTAGGGCTGACACCTTATTCTTCACCTGTGGCTGTTATTCCCCCAACAACTAACTGTCTATAGGAACAAGGCCCCCCACTAGTACCCTTAGGTCAGAGCAGGCCCTGTGTGTTCAGCACTAAAGGAATGAATGCTCCCCCAGAAAAAAGGAGCCCCTATTCTCAAGACTCTCCTTGTCTGTAAGACACAGCCAATGAATGTCTGATGAACCTCTAGTCATCCCTGCAAACCAAAGGCAGGAAGAGATTGCTAGTCTGTTTCTGGGCTTCCACATAATTTATGAAAAACTCACTCCTGCCTCATCATTAAGAAATGGAGTATGTGGGGCCCTCCCTGGTGGTGCAGCGGGTTAAAGCACTGCACTAAGAAGCTAAAGCCACTTCCGCATGAGTTCGATTCCCATATGAGTTCGATTCCCATGAGTTCGATTCCCACCTGCCCCGGAGGTGACCACATGGTATGGCAGACCTCTCCTGACCCCCTGCTGCTCCCCCCAGCAGTGTACCTCGTTGATCTGCCTGTTCTGTACCCCACTCTGTCTCTGGTGAATCCTCTCATCCTCTGCATCTCTGGCCTGTACCCCAGTTCTATATGAATAAATAAATAAATCTTTAAAAAAAAGAAGAAGAAATGAAGTATGTGGTTTCTAATTCCAGCTGCTAAAAGCTAGGATTTTGGACATTCTTTCTCTTCATCACATATTTATCAATTTTCAGGGCTCTTAAGATTAAATCACGGACCCTGTGGATAAGAGATCAAGCGTGACCTTAGCACTGACCCTTTTCCAAGGTCGTATGGCAAATTAGGAGCAGAACAGGAGCCGAGGCTAGGGTGCCAGGCCAACCCCCCCATCCCACGCTAACACCACCACTTGCCAGCAGCCTACCCAAGTGGTGGCGGCTCCTAGGGAAGAGTATCTGAAAACAAGCCCAATCTCAGGTGACTCCAGGAAGAAGGATCAGATCAAAGATGCTCCTCCTGCCTCCACCCTTCCAGAGGCCCCAGGGGAGCATGAACCCCTCCACTAAATCCTGCTCACGAAGCCCCCCTGGACACCCAGGTTCTGGCAGATACTAGTTCCTCAAAACTGGAGCCACAACCCAGAGCTGAGAAAATGATTGGACTTCACTGGACCTCGGTATCACATGGGGAAACTGCCGGATGGCTGTTCGGTCCCACTGCCCTCACCCACCAAGAGAGGGCAGCCTGAACCTGACCACCTAACTTGGTCATACCGACCGAAATAGCCAAAAAGCCACGCTCATGGCTAAGTCAGGTCAGAACTTGGCTCAACCTCCTTTGCCATCCGCTAGTTCCTACTACCGGTCAAGCAGACGACTGGGTGGGGGTGGCGGGGTCTGTCCTCGGCTAGCAGGTGGTCTGGAGGGGTGGGGTGGGGGGCAGAGCTCCCGGGAAGCAAAGTCCGGACACCAGAGCCGCATCGGAGCCAAGAGCAGCCTGTGTACAGTCTGCTTCTCGTGTCCAAGCAGCACCCCCGGCCTTGGAGTGTGGCTATCCGCGGTCTGGACACCGTCCTCTGACTCCCACATCCCGCGTTTCTCCAGCCGACGGGATCGCAGCTGCGACCTCCCTCCCCTCGCCACCACGTACCCTCCATCGTAGCACTGCGGTCAGGTGCCGCCTGCATCCGGCGGCCCGGCCCGCGGTCGGTCCCTAAGGGAGGCTGCCTGGGTCTAGCCCGGAAACCGCAACCAGGCTCCGGCTCCTAGGAGCAGCCGTGCCCCTACCCCCACCCTGTGGCCCCGAGCCCGGAGTGAGGGCTCTGCTTCTCCCCGTGCGGCCCCATCCCTGGGCACTACGGCGCCCGCGCGCGCGCCTTCCGCCTCTCACCTGGCACAGGAACAGACGCTACCTGGGCCC